TTTTTTTTTTTTTTTTTTTTTATAGTCATTAAACAAAAACTAAATAGTCAAATGTTCTCTATGAGGAATCATAACTATGTCTTTCTAAGATTAATCTGTGTGTCATTATTTTTATCCTGAATGTTTTAACTAAACAAAGTCAGCTTTCAAAATAAATTTTAGAAAAAGTTTTGGTTTTGTTTCTGTAACAGAATCTCAATGGTATGTTTTTCCTGAAACTGATAGGACTTAATCTGATTTTATTGTTTCTTAAATTTTGGATTTGTTTAAGCTTGTGTTTCTATAGTTAATAATGGAACGAACCTTCACTCTTTAGTTGCAGTTTTTGTTCTTCAGACAAGCTAAAGTGATTTTAATAAGGCTTAGTAGTATTTAAATAGCAACTTCCTCTACATTTGTTTTAAGTATCTCATCATTTGGTCATTTTGACTTTTTAAACACATAGCATCTTTTTCAAATGCACTATAAAGTCTGTTATTGGCATAACTGGTAGACAATAACTTGTGATAATAAATCATTTGATTAATAATAAAAACTGCAAATATTGCATGTTATTTACAAAATCAAGATAAAAAACAGTTTAGTTAATCTCATAAAGTAAAGCAAAGTTTGTATATAGTTTTAGGCCATAAGAGCTGATAGTTTTATTTATGACTTTATAGATTAAGTTATTTATGTATGGAACAAAGCAGGAAAATGTATTGAGAAAGCATTATGTTTACAAAGGACTTCTTTAATGTGTTACATTTCTAAAATGTAAACATATATTTTTAATGCATACTTCAGTAATATTTAAGGAAATCAAACAAAGTAATGATATTATTGCCATGTTGTGCACGTTACCAACAACAACAAAAAAATAAAACAATTTTGGTTGTATTGGCATGTATTTTGATTTAATATGCTTGTGTGAATTCAGCTTGTGTTTCCATAGCTATTCTATAAATATTTAGATACTTTTTAGTTATATGTGATTTAAGAATATTTAAAGATAGGTTATATAATTTATAACTTAAAATCAGGCTTAAAGTGTAAAATGAAATACTTTTCCCCTGGTAGTGAAAGGAGATAGCTACATTAACATTGCCTCAGGCTTGAAAACAAAGTTGGCAGTTGAGGTATTTTTCAATACCTCAAATTAGAGCTGCTTTAACTAGTGGGACATTATGAAATCCCTCATCCATAGGCTGTGTGTGGAGCTAAATTTTCATCATAAATACTTGATTTGTACTTAGATTTCATAAAATTTGCAGTTGAAAAAGGTATAAATATCCAAGTTGTTGCAAACATACTTAAATTTTTTCAGCAGCTGAATCAAGTATCAGTTCTTAAACTTACATTTAAATTTACTGAAATTAATAATTGAGTTCCTCAGTTACAGGAGCCACTTTTCTAGTGCTCAGTAGCCGCATATGGCCAATGACTCCATATTGAACAGCACAGCTCTACTCATTTGCCCTTTCCTGTTGCTCTCAAACCCTAGTATGCATAATTGGTTCTCCATCATCTTGGGTGTTATTACGTATACATATTATAACGAACTTTATACATTTGGGTTACATATGGGAGAGAATGACCCTTCTATTGTTGTAGGATGAACATGTTGATGTTTGTGCTTGTTCAGTTAGATGAACACTTCCCAGTGACTCACAAAGGAGAAGAGGGGTAGTATGCCCAGCATAGAGAGCATAACCAACCTGGCCAAGGTCAGAGTAGGGGAACCAAGCAGTCGGACCACTGGTCCCACTTAAAATCTAAGTTGTTGTTAGGTGCTGTCAAGTCAGTTCTGACTCATAGTGACCCTACATACAACAGAACGAAGCACTGCCCAGTCTCGTGCCATCCTCACAATCATTACTATGTGTGAGGCCATTGTTGGCAGCCACTGTGTCAGTCCATCTCCTTGAGGGTCTTCATCTTTTTTGCTGCCCCTCTACCAAGCATGATATTCTTCTGCAGGGACTGGTCCCTCCTGATAACGTGTCCAAAGTAAGACAAAGTCTTGCCATCCTTGCTTCTAAAGCGCATTCTTCGCCCTGTTCCCATACACTCTCATCGTGGGACTCAGTCAGCCATGGCTCATAGAGTGCCATTTCCCACAAATGCTCACACGCCTGTCTGATTTTGGGTTGTTTCAGAATTTCCCAGCTGCTCTTAATTTACCTGATGCACAGCCTGCTTGGTTTGTAAGCTGCTCTTCTGCTGGCGCTTTGCACTGTCGCTGCTGGGATGTCTGCATGCCTGCCAAGGCAGAATGTTGCGTTTTTGTTTTGTATTCAATAAATATTGAGGATCTACCATGTGCCAAATACTTTAAAGCGCTTCAGGGCAGTGGTGAAAAAGGGTGGCAAGGTTCTGATTGGCATGGACTTTTCACCCAAGTTGGCAGAGGCAGGTAATAGAATATCAGGCATGATAATTGCTGGATGAAAATGGATATTTTCCACACTAGGTGGTCTACAGTGAAAATTCAGTTGAAGCCTCATGGCAAAAAGGAGCTAGCCACTCAAATCTGGGGAGAGAGCACTGTAGTCAAGGGAGTGCCTAGTACAAAAGCCATAAGGCAATGTTATGGATTGAATTGTATCCTCCAAAAATACGTGTTGGAATCCTAATCTGTGGATGTAATTTTAGGAATAGGATTTTCTTTGTTTTTTCCCTTAATGAGCATGCTATTGCTGATGTTGGTGGGCTGATGAATTTTTGTGGCTTCTCTGCAGATCTATATTACCAGTTGCCATCGAGTCGATTTTGACTCGTGGTGACTCCTTGTGTTTCAGAATAGAACTGTACTCTGTAAGGTTTTCGATGGCTGTGAACTTTCAGAAGTAGATCGCCAGAACTTTCTTCCAAGGTGCCTCTGGGGGGATTTGAACCGCCAACTTTTTGGTTAATAACCAAGTGCTTAACCATTTGCGGCACCCAGGAACTTTGCAGATTATATTACTGCCTTTTAATTAGGAGAGAATAAAGAACAGGTTAAAATCATCAATTTTTCAGAGTACTTGCGGAATCCAGTTCTAAAAAAAAATGATCTCTGTTTTTATGAAATTCAATGTGGGACTCATATATATCAGATTGGAATATTTTAGGTGTTATAAAGAAACTGGTGCATTCAACAGCCTAAATGGCAGCCTCAGGAAGTGGAGTCTCTGTTACCACAAGACACTTTTAGAATAGAGCAGAATTCAGGGGTGTCATGGATTGAGTTGTGTCCCCCCAAAATATCTGTCAACTTGGCTAGGTCATGATTCCCCGTATTGTATGATTGTCTACCATTTTATCATCTGATGTGATTCCCCTATGTGTTGTAAATCCTATCACTATCATGTAGTAAGATGGATTAGTGGTAGTTACATTGATGAAGTCTACAAGATTAAATAGTGTCTTAAGCCAATCTCTTTTGAGATACAAAAGAGAGAAGCAAGCAGAGAGACATGGGAACTTCATACAACCAAGAAAGCAGTGCCAGGAGCAGAGCGTGTCCTTTGGACCTGAGGTTCCTGCACTGAGATGCTCCCAGACCAAGGGAAGACTGATGACAAGGACCTTCCTCCAGAGCTGACGAAGAGAAAGCCTTCCCCTGGAGCTAACACCCTGAATTTGGACTTGTAGCCTACTAGACTGTGAGAGAATAAATTTCTCTTTGTTAAAGCCATCCACTTATGGTATTTCTGTTACAGCAGCACAATACAACTAAGACAAGGGGTATCTTGTGGGTCCCCAGAAGCTGAATGGAATTGCAGGCATGTTATACTGGAAGTATTCCACAATATCACCTCTAAATTACTGAAAGCAATAAATCGCCAGATGTAAACTTGGAGAGTTACATCAAAAGTTTTAAAAAGGTTGCTCTGATAATTATGCTTTCAAAAAGTAATGTTGGAAAACTATCTCACCCATTAAATTATTTAGAGGAAAGCCTACCTACACAACGCCAGTTGCCAGTAAATAGTCTTTTTATTTTTATCAGTTACAGCTTATACTTGAATTTGCTGACGACTATACATTGAAATATCTAAATACACTAATGTAAAAGTTATACAAATAGTGATATCCACTTCTGGTTTCATCTGAATGCCCAGCTTACCAAACTCAGTTTTACACCATTCAGCACAGAAAAAAACTGGAACTATGTGACCTCTCCGGAAGGAACTGGAATTTTTGATTTTCTTAATTCTAATCTGTTTTTACTAGTGAAAAGATGTCTGACTTGCCTTCAGGAAAAACAAAGAGAACAACAGTGGAAATTGACTTGCTTGTGAGGAGACACCAAAAAAAAAAAAATACCCAGAAAGACTGGCAGTTCAAATCCTTTCTTGCCATAGCTCTTAACTACTGTGCCGAAAACATAAATGATCATGTTTCAGTAAATTGGATGTCATGAATACTTAACTACATTGCTGTAATACTCACTTTCTTCAGTTGTATTACATGAATTCTTTTGATTGTATCATGTGAGTTTTAGCCTAGAATCACCAGATTCGTGCTCCTCAAAGGCCAGATTTCCTGTGACATCTTCATGATTTTTTCCACATCTATCTATCACTGAGCTATTATTATTAACATTTTTCTTTAAATGGGCTCATTGTAAAAAAATCTAAATACATTTAGATTTATTTTCTAAATAAAAATTTACATGACTACTAAAATAAAGAAAACCAGCATCATTTCCCATAACTAGACAGTAACTATAAAAATAATTACAGTGAAAATTAAATGTTTAATTAAATCTTAGCTAGATAATGTCTTTAATAACTGTGATTCTGAGACCTCTTCTTTCTTTGGTAGAGAAAGAGATGAGCAAGTGTTAGAGATATCTCACACCAAAGTGAATTTCTTCTAGATGCTATTAGAAGCGTTAAAAGAGTATTGAAAAGATATGAACTTTATC